AGCGGACTGCAGAGAGTTACAAAGGGATCTCACAAAACAGAGCAACTGCGTAACAAAATGGCAGATGAAATGCAAAGTAGAGCACACTGGAAAACACAATCCCAACTATACCAACAGAGTGAGCTATTGCCACTCAAGAAAGTTCTTGGCATTAGTGTGGATAGTTTCTTGAAAACATCTGCTCAATGTCCATCAGCAATCAAAAAAGATAACAGAATTTTTTGGAACAGTTAAAAAAGGGATACATACTATATACATCCATGGTACACCCAAACCTTGAATACTGCACACAGTTTTGGTCATCCCATCTCAAAAAAAGATATATTAGAATTGGAAAAAGTACAGAGAGGAGCAACAAAAATGATTAGGGGATGGAACAGCTTCCATATGAGAAGAGATTAAACAGACTGGGAGTGCTGAGCTTCAGAAAGAGGGATATGACAGAAGTGTATAAAATCAAGAACCAAGGTCACCCAATGAAATTAATAGGTGGCAAGTTTAAAACAAACATAAGAAAGTAGTTCTTCACACAATACATAATCAACCTGTGGGACTTGTTGCCATGGGAAAACCAAAGTATAACTGGGTTTAAAAAAGAATTAGCTAAGTTCAATGAGGATATGTCCATCAATGGCTATTTGCCAAAATAGTCAGAAACACAACCCCGTGCTCTGGATGTCTTTAGGTCTCTGGTTTTCAGAAGCTCAGACTGGACAACAGGGGATGGATCACTTAATAATTGCCCTGTTCTGTTCATTCCCTCTGAAACACCTGGCAATGGACACGATCAGGCGACAAGATATTGGGCTAGTTGGATCAATGGTCTGACCCAGTATGGCCATTCTGATGTTCTTATGAAATTCACCATAGCATGCTTAAGGAAATAGTTGAAGCAAACTCAGAACCATTAGCAATTATCTTTTGAGAACTCATGGAGGAATGGTGAGATTCTAGAAGACTGGAAAAGGGCAAACATAGTACCCATTTTTACAAAGCAAAACAAAGAGGATGCAGGGAATTATAGACCAATCAGCCTAATTTCGATACCTGGAAAGATACTGGAACAAATTATTAAACAATCAGTTGGTAAGAATCTGAAGGATAATAGATTTATAGGGAATAGCTGGCATGGATTTGTCAAGAACAAATCATGCCAAACCAATCTAATTTCCTGCTTTGACAGGATTAGTGGCCTAGAGGATAATGGAGAACCTGTATATCTGATATATCTTGGCTTTTAAAAGACTTTTGACACAGTCCCATATGACATTCTCATAAGCAAACTAGGAAATATGGTTTAGAAGAAATTACTATAAGATGGGTGCACAACTGGTTGAAAATCTGTACTCAAAAATAGTTATCAGTGGTTCACTGTCATACTGTGAGGGTGTACCTACCGAAATCCTGAAGGTGTCAGTCCTGGGTCCAGTATTATTCAATATTTTAATTAAAAACTCGGATAATAAAGTGAAGAGAATGCTTATAAAATTTGTGGATGACACCACACTCAGAGGGGTTTTTAGCCCTTGGAGGACAGAATTAGAATTCAAAACAACCTTGATAAATAGGAGAACTAGTCTGAAATCAACAAGATGAAATTAAATAAAGAAAAGTACAAAGCACTATGTTTAGGAAGGAAAATTCAAATGCACAACTATAAAATGGGCAGTAGCACTGTTGTTAACAATCTGGGATTACCGTGAATCACAAACTGAATATGAGCCAACAATGTGATGTAGTTGCAAAAAGTCCAATATCCTTCTGTGTATTAACAGGAATGTCATATGTAAGACACAGAGTTATTGTCCTACTCTACACAGCACTGGTCAGGCCTCAGCTGGAGTACTGTGTTCAGTTCTGTGCTTTAAGAAAGATGTGAACAAACTGGAGAGAGTCCAGAGGAGAACAACAAAAATTATAAAAGGTTTAGAAAACTTAAGGTATGAAGAAATGTTAAAAAAGCTGGCCATGTTTAGTTTTGAGGAAAAAAGACTGAGGGACGACATGATAACAGTCTTCATATATGTGAAGGGCTATTATAAAAAGGATGGTGATAAACTGTTCTCTATGTCCACTAAAGATAGGACAAGAAATAATTGTCTTAATTTGCAGCCAGGAAGATTTATGTTAGATATTATGAAAACTTTCATATTATAAGGATAGTTAAGCACTGGAATAGGGTTCCAAGGGAGGTTGTTGAATTCCTGTCATTTTTAAGAACAGGTTGGACAAACACCTATCAGGGATGGTCTAGGTATACTTGCTCTTGCCTCAGCCTAGGGGGGTTGGACTTGAAGACCTCTCAATGTCCCTTCCAGCCCTAAATTTCTACGATTCTACAAGTGTATGGACTCACAGCAGCATGCCTTGTTCAGCAGGTTGATGACTATGGTCTGCACTAGCTAAAGCTTAAACTTAGACTTCAAGGATACCTGTGAGTAAAGCACATTCGAGTACTGGAGGCTGGTGACAAAGGCCTGATTGGTGTGAGGTTCACATTAGGGAGAAACGACCACAGCCTCCTGGTGAAAGGCCCTGAAGACCATGGCTGCTGTAGACCTCACCATTACAAATAGTCAATTTCCCATCTTAAGTATGTGAAAAAGCAGTTATTTCAGATATCATTGCAAGGAGATGCTGGCAAATTCTGGCTTTTTTATTGACACCCTTATTACTGCAAAATTGAAGAACAGCAATGGATCACAGTGGATTAGAAGACTGAGAATTATTTTGCAGGGCATATATCCTCAGTATACAGTGTAGGTATCTCCTCCACCCATGCCTCTAAGTGCTTCCCGTACCTAATAACCATCATTTCCTTCTTAGTCAAATTTTGTCACTCACAGTTCAAACCAGACTGAGAAGGACCAAGGAAATCTATGGAATCTCAGTGTAGGTGACACTGCTGCAATTCCACCTTCTCAATAACTTTTCTTCAAAAAGGGAGATTCAAGGCCATAAAGCAAATGATGAGATATCGCCATCCAAATAGTTTGAGTTTAAGTAGAGCTTGCTTACGTGTTGCTGGCAGCTTGCCCTATTCAAGTGAAGGGGCAACTCAGTCACAATGAGCCCAAAATATCTATGCTTACTTTAACCAACCATGAAGGACACAGGTGGTTGGTTACAACTCCCTAAGAACATCCAAAACCACTGGAACTGAAAGTAGACGAAAACCAACCAGAAGAGATGACACATTCCTTCCCTTCCGCTTGAACACACTTCCTACAGAAGTCATCAGACTGGCCCAGATCTCACTGAATGTATCTGCTAGTTAAGTTGACAGTGCCTCATGAAGAGAAACATTCCACTCAGTTAACCAAGCTAAGAGAGTCTTGATTTATCAGTCTGCTGACAACTCAGAACAGTACAGCTGGTTTGGATTTCGTAAGATGTCAGGGGGCTTTGTGGAGCAACTCAGTGAAAAAAAGCTTAAGAACGTGGCAGAAATGGGGATGATTACTTCAAAGATGGTTTAGATTAGTTAGAGATGGAAGAGGTGTCTAAACACAAATCCATCACACTGTGTGCACTTACTACAGAATACTGTCCTCAAAAACAAAAGGCATGCTAAATTGATACATAAGCTACAACAGAGCCAATTTGGAGGTACAAACTCTGGCAACTATGTAACATGTTTTCAAGGGGGCTTTAGGGGATGGCAGCCACATATTTATCTGTTGTGTCAAATATAGTAACCTCAGGACAACAACTCAGCATAACACAAACAATAAGGCAATAAATAAAATAGTAATACCTTGGAAATTATTAATACAAATTACAGTTGCATCTGCACTGTTTCCAAAAACTGGCAGAATTCCTTCAAATAAACATGTAACTTTTTATTTTTTTTTTAAAGATTCTATGATGGCAGTAATTTGAGGAAATCTGCTAATTGATTACATTCATCTGAGGTGAAACACATCTATCACATTGCCTTTTTTCGCTTGGAAAGCCAGAACAGGGAATCTCCAAAGATTAAAGCAGTATAATGAAAACGATCATTGTAAAACAAGTTTCAGAGTAACAGCCGTGTTAGTCTGTATTCGCAAAAAGAAAAGGAGTACTTGTGGCACCTTAGAGACTAACCAATTTATTTGAGCATTAGCTTTCGTGAGCTACAGCTCACTTCATCGGATGCATACTGTGGAAACTGCAGAAGACATTATATACACAGAGACCATGAAACAATACCTCCTCCCACCCCACTCTCCTGCTGGTAATAGCTTATCTAAAGTGATCATCAAGTTGGGCCATTTCCAGCACAAACCTGGATTTGTGCTGGAAATGGCCCAACTTGATGATCACTTTAGATAAGCTATTACCAGCAGGAGAGTGGGGTGGGAGGAGGTATTGTTTCATGGTCTCTGTGTATATAATGTCTTCTGCAGTTTCCACAGTATGCATCCGATGAAGTGAGCTGTAGCTCACGAAAGCTAATGCTCAAATAAATTGGTTAGTCTCTAAGGTGTCACAAGTACTCCTTTTCTTATTGTAAAACAAGACAGTCATAGTCTGGGGTATTTACATGTGGTATGTATGCAACATACTAAGCCAATAAAATCATAATGTATGTTTTTGTTATATAGGGTAAATTCTTTCTGGTGTAAATGAGCACAACTCAGCTGAAGGCAGTGGAACTGTGATCAGTTACACAGACAGAGAATTTTGTCCTAAATAATATGTATAATATAATCATAGGTCCCAATCCTGCAAACACACACACAGGAGTAACTTTACTCACGAGTAGTCTCTACGATCTCAGTTGTGTGTGTTTGCAAGGCTGAACCTTTAGTATGTACTGTACAACACCATGACATACAAAGCGTTATGTAAGTGCTAGAGTACATAATGGTATTATAATCTCTTCTGCAGTGGAGATTTCAATTAACTCAATTCCCCTTACAAGAGAGGACATATACCCAATTTTTGTAGCAGTGATCTTGGCAGGTTAAAAGAAAACATCCTTTTATCCAATAACTGAAATTTAAAATAAGTACCTTCATGCTTTCTCCCACGCAGTCCTTCATGCTTCAGAGGAGCGCGCCTTAAATATTCACAAAACTAACACAATATCCTCTTTCAAATCCTTCCTTAAAACTCTCCTTTGCCTTTATGCCTACAAAAAACTTGGCAGGTAGGGGAGCTGGTATGCTGAGACCCTTGCCTATCATTCTGGCCAATATTGTCTCATTGTTTCCTTGTGTTCCCGTCAGCCTTTCTGTATCCATCTGTTGTCTCTTGTCTTTGGCTATAAGTCCTTGTGGCAGGAACTATCTTTTTGTTCTGGGGTACTGGGCCATGATGGGCACAATGATAATACAAGCAATAATAATAGGGTTAAATATAACTATATTAAACGTTCTCCTGAAAACGCCATTCTGTCTCAGATGGTGCATTAATTAGCCTATTCACCATATGAATAAACACCAAAGCTGTTGCACAAAACAAATACCTGACAGGAAAATGTGCTTGTTTAATAATAAAAAAAAAAAAGGCTGAAAGAAGTATCAGCCACCACATGCTAGAGTGAGACTGCTTAACAACACTGTACCTTGGAGACCAATCATGCATCAGTGAAGTCAATGACAGGTTTGCCGCTGACAATGTCAGCAGGGCGCAGCCCCATCTGTATGAATACAAGTAAGAGGCCTGTGTAATACAATACTTCTATGTTGATCTGTGAGCCACTAAGCCCATGCATAATATTGTGTCTTACCCACAGCATGGGTGAGACGTGGAATGTGTTTTAAACTGCTGCATACCTAGGGCCTGATTTTGCTCCCATTGAAGTCAATCAGGCCTCTTCAGAGGCACGTTAGTTGTTCATAATACAGAGGTTCTTAACTCATTTCTCATGGGGTGCAGTGGGGCTTGCCGACCTAAAATGTGCTCCAATGGCTCTGACCTGGAATTAAACCAATACGCCATTACTGTAAAACTGAGTGTTACATCTTTTTCAGGATGACCCCATACTTAGTTATAATTCACAAACCATCAGAATGGCATTACATGTGAATGGTGATAATACACTGCTGAATTCCCCACAACCATCTTATAGCATGCACTTTCTGGGTATGCTACCATGGGAGTTCAATTACTTGGTCTGAAACAGGCTGATCTATGCTTTAGAAATGCGTACAGTCAGATAGATTAGTCACTCTTTCCACCCCACTGTAATACATTCCTATCTATATTAATTCTGATTTTCTCCCTTCATTCTTTCTCCAGTGGATAGTTTCTCTGTATCATAGTGATTTTTCCCCACCTTTCTACCCAAAATAACAGAGATTTATGACTGTCTTCAACATTGACCAATATCAGTGTATTGCAAGACTGTTACCACTATGGTTCAGAAAGTCTTTTTTCAGAGGAACAGCCGTGTGAGTCTGTATTCGCAAAAAGAAAAGGAGGACTTGTGGCACCTTAGAGACTAGTCTTTTTTGTTGTTGTTGTTCTAACTCAGGGGTTCTCAAATGTCATCGCACAACAAAAATTCTTCTGACAACAAAAATAACTACACAACCCCAGGACGGGGGACTGAGGCCTGAGCCCGCCCAAGCCCTGTCACCCAGGGTGGAAGGGCCAAAACCAAAGCCTGAGCCCCACCACCCGGGGGGGGAGGGGAAGGGCCAAAAACCAAGAGCTTCAGCCCCAGGTAGGCGGCCTGTAACATGAGCCTCCCCACCCAGGTCTGAAGCCCTTGGGTTTCAGCTTCTACCCCAGATAGTGGGACTGTCACCCATTTGGGGGTCCATGCCCGCAGTTTGAGAACCCCTGTTGTAACTGAATAAACTATGTAGACCAGAACCTCAATTGGTATAAATCATGTTAGATCCATTGATTTCAATGGAGTTACACCAACTGAAGCCAGGAGAGGGTCTGGTCCTAGAGAATTAGTGTATTTAAGAACACAAATATCACAAATGCAGAATTACTTTCCTTGCCTGTAATTCTGAGTTATCTTAATATGGCTGGCTACCGCATTTTGGACAGAAATAATCATTCATGGCCATGTTGGTCCAATCCAGTTGAATGGAAGCAGAATTCCTTTTTACAGTAATAAATGAATCTGAAGGCTTCTATTTGCTAACGTGTTATCTGATCTGACTACACTCTCTCCCCAGGCAAACACTTCCAAGGACAGCCAGATACAAAAACAGATCAAATTGCCACAATCTGGACCTGAAGAAACAAAAATATAACCATTGCGTATGTAACTCCCCTCCTCAGAGGTCACCTGCTGACCAATTATTTGAGCATGGTCAAATATTGTCAAATATTCCACTATGAATGCCCTGATGTAGGCTGTGGTGTACCATTTTGATTCCACCTGTTACCAAGTCTATTTAAATGTCTTGATCACTCACTTTAATATATGCTAATGCCACCTGTTGGGGAAAAGAAGAACTTTTCGAAAACTGAGCATCTTGATTGGCTGGAATATTCTAGAACAATGTATGTATGTGGTATATATGTATTTGTTTTCCAGACCATCAGTGTGCATGGCAGTTTACAAGGCACATTAACAAGTTAAAAGGGATGGTCCTTGCCCTGAAGAGCTTACAAGGCAAACATACAGAAATTAATTCAGAAGGGAGTGGGGACAGGAAAGGGGGGCTCCTCCCACAACACAAAGAGAAAAGATGCACAACCATTGAACAGATTGAAGAGTTAGCCTGCTGCCTACGTAACATAAGTGCATGTAAAAATGTTACTGTTTTTCTTTTCTTTTGTAACTGTTCAGTGTTAAATGACATTCATATTTGAATGCCAACCTACCATTGCTAATTAAAATAACTCAGTTAAGTAACTTGTCTTTTTTGTAATTAGGCATTAGTATCTAAGGCTAAGCCTATTGGAAACCAGTCAAATGCCCAACTGTACCTAATTCTTCCTCTTAGCTAAGCACATTCTCTTTTTGTGTGCTAGGTGTTACAGAAGGATCTAAATAGAACCATGTCTTCTCAAATGTTACAACACAACTGCCTACTGTGATGTTTCGTGCCTCTTCTTCTGAAGCCAGTGCCAGTGACAGGACATAGGATTAGATGGCTAGAACTGTGCAGACCAGATCCAGGAGGATCATCTGTAAATACTGTACAGGGATTTTTATTCTAGAGAGAAAAGTGGGCTGAAATCAAGAAGTCAGAGCTGGCAAGCAGCATACATCCCTGAAGGCTTTCTTCAAGGGGACTAGGCTCAATAGCTAGGACTAGAAATGTAAGGGAGACTCTCCACTTTCTTTCTTTCTTTCTTTATTTATTTCTAAAAAATAAGTTTCTAACCATTTCCTTTGCAAAGATACCCTTGAAAAGGTAACCAAAGCAAAACCCCACTTTAGAGCTGAAAGCCTATTACTAATTTTTCCTAAGGTCGCAGTTATTCAAAGTCCCCTCACAGCCCTTTGGGTTCCAGATAAAAACGAACCTTAGCCACTGGTTTTTGAGAAGACCCCGGATCAGTTCACAGCTATAGGGAGCAGTTATATTTTTCCTGATATCCAGCCGAATGTTCCATACCTTACTCTCATTATTCAGAGTATTCGCTCCCTATGGAGCTCTGCATGTAGCTTCCACTAGCTAAGCACACAGAAAGGAAACAAATCAGAATAGACATTGCGAGAGAGTCTCCATGAGCACATTGAATAATGTTCCCAAATTGTTAAAAGCTAGTGAAACACTGAACTTGATATCATTGTTATTGTTTTATCATTCTTTTCAAATCAGAACTTCATGCTTTCATCCTCCATGAACTAGTTCTCTAAACTTAAGATATACACAATGATCTAACAGAAAGGCATTAGAAAAATGTTAAAGTAAACAAAATAAATAAAATAATCATAATAATGAATTGGGCTTACATCTGTTTGTGATTATTATTTATGAATGCCTTTTGGGGAAAACTATACAGAATCCTTATAACACACATCAATTTAACTGCTTTAACTTTGGCCCAAAATTCACGGTACTGTTAAGTTTATCCAACAAGGATCCTCTTATTTGAGGCTCAGTGTCAAGTAAGACTAAGCTTTCAAAAGAGGCTGACTGAAGCTATCACACAAGAGGATCAGAGGCATACTTCTGTCACAAGAGAAAGCACTCTGAACAGCAGTGCGCAATTCTGTCAACAGATTGTCACTCAGTGGATTATAGCATCAGACTCAGTCACAGATTCCCCTTTCAGATAAACACTTTGTCACAATCCTGACCTTGCCAGATAAGGCCCATTTAGCAGAGTTCAAGTCTCACCAGGTAAGACCCGAAGAAGTTATGATTCACCGCTTCTCATTCTCATCATAGAGCTCTATTTGTTACCAGCCACAGTTATTTACCCAGCGATTGTTCAGACTTTACTGGAGGTGGAGGAAATGCACACAAAAACAAACATGCACTTGCTAAACTAAAAAGTTTCAGCAAGTACCCCCACAGCATAGTGCAAATCACTATTTCTGAGACCTCCTTATGGGCATAGTCCAAAAAGGAATGGAAAGTGACACTGGCAGGCATATTCTGCTCCAACTAGCAAAGTATTTAAAATCAAGAAAAACGGGCAATTCTGGATCAGACTAGGCTAATTTATGTGGAATTTTTGTCTCTTAAATGTTAGAATATCAGAGAATATCGGGGTTGGAAAGGACCTCAGGAGGTCATCTAATCCAAATCTCCGCTCAAAGCAGGACCAATCCCCAACTAAATCATCTCAGCCAGGGCTTTGTCAAGCCTGACTTTAAAAACCTCTAAGGAAGGAGATTCCACCACCACCCTAGTTAACCCATTCAAGTGCTTCACCACCATCCTAGTAAAAAAGTTTTTCCTAATATCCAACCTAAACCTCCCCCACTGCAACTTGAGACCATTACTCCTTGTTCTGTCATCTGCCACCACTGAAAACCACTGAGAACAGTCTAGATCCATCCTCTTTGGAACCCCCTTTCAGGTTCCAAAGTAGCTATCAAATCCCCCCTCACTCTTCTCTTCTCCAGACTCAATAATCCCAGTTCCCTCAGCCTCTCCTCATAAATCACGTTCTCCAGTTCCCTTTA